TACAGGAAAAAAAACTCCGGACTAAATCCTGTAACTTCTGACTAGGAACAGTTGCTCAGTTACTCTCTCAAATGTGTTCCCACTTACAGGTTTTATGTCAATAGGAACGACTTCCTGTAAGTTCTGACTAAATCCTGTAAATCGGACTGCTATTGGAACAGACTAATTATAAAAGAGGGTTTGGTAAGCGATGTTGGTTGTGGAGTCTTTCGGAAGGTGCATTAGATCGGAGCCAGAGTGGTCGATATGATTTAAATACTGGTTGACTCTTTCTAGTATTGATATCAATTTCTTTTTTTTCTGCGCGTATGGGGTAAATAGGGGTTATTATATTGCAGTAGTTGTGTTTCCGAAGGCATTAGCATTATTGTTGTTGTTATTGTTGTTGTAGATGGTCTCAATTTTCCTCAAGTTTGATTTTGGGGAGTGCCCGTATATTGCTAATCCATATTCAATCGTGGGAATAAGTACTGCTCTGATTATATTTATGGTAACATTAGGATGCGCATTGCTGTGATAGCTACTAATACATTTGATTAAATTTAGCCTTTTGTTTAATGCTTATTTCAAATAGTTAATGTGGGACGTAAACTTATATTTGTTGTTAAATGCGCGACACCTAGTACTTAAAGTTTAGTAACATATTCGATTCTGTTGGAGTTTATATAAATAATCGAAAGGCTGCAATCTCGTTTCCTACATATTGGAGTGCTTTTGTTTTTGCTACAGAAAGTTTAGCGCCGGTGATGTCACACTAGTCGGAAATCTTACAAAATAGCGAATCTAAGTTTTGGATTGCGTTTTTGTCTTTGTTGTTAACTATGACATAGAGATCATCCGCGTAGATGCAGTGACTGAAGGATGGATATCTTATGATAATTTGGTTTAGTTTTTCGATTGCGATTAAAAATGGTGTTACTGACAATGGGGATCCCTGTGGAATTCCATTGATCAGATGCATAGTATTTGAAGGGTAAGAGCTGAAACTAGTTCTCAATTTTCTATTCATTAAGAAGGAAATAGTGTATCTAATTAATTTTGGGCCCAATTTCCATTCCTTAAGTTGATCGATAATAGAATGTATTCCGATGCGCTCAAATGCCTTTCCGAAGTCAATGGAAAGAATGGTAATGTGGTTCTTTTTGAGGAGGTTCGCCAGGAGACGAGACGCAGAAGCATGTATATAGGTAGTTCTTCCAAACGGATGTTTCAGCCCATTTTGTTATTCATTCAGAGTCATCACTGAAGACTGAAATGGAACTAGAGTCATGCTTTTTATGCTTTACCATTCTTTCGTCTTGCTCGCGGTTCTTGTCGAAAACTTATTATAAAAGCAGAGTCGAGGAAAAGTATAATCTAGCTCGATATAATACCTAGAATTTTAGTGTCAAAATTTAGCTTCTCAGGGTAGGTAAGATTTTTGCATAGCATAATTTCAGTAAGACTGGAATTTATCATAAAAAGGACCGAAGGAAGGTTTGGGGTTCTAAGGACCAGAGTTGATGGAGGGGTAGAACAATCTAAATCTATTCAGGTGGTAAAAAATGGAAAACTTTTTCCGTTCGTAACCTCTAATTAGATAATTTGCCTGTCGGAGGCATTTATGGAGACAAACGCCAATTTTCTTCACTCACTACTCTTCGCTGCTTCCTTGCTTCGGGCCCACTTGAAGTTTATTTATTTATGTCTGCAATATAATTTTCCTTTTCCTGATGTCGTTTTACTCAAAAACCGGATGCCAAACTTCAATTTGTCAAGATTGCGTAAATTGGATAAAATTCTATCAGATTTACTTCGGATAGATGATATAAAAAACTAGTTTCCTTTGAAAGCATGCCGAAAATCTGTGATATTTTTAAAGCTTTTATCCATAAATTAAAAGTCTAGAATAAAAGAAAATTTTAATTGCCAATTTATTTAACCAAAATCCCCAAGTAAGCTGCCTTTACATAGAAAGTGGGTTACTAATACTTGACCAAATTTACATACATTCTTACATATGTAAGTCCATACACAAATACGTGTACTTGGATAGGTATGTGCGTGCGCTATAAACTTTGGTAGATAATTTGATGGCTTGTAAGAGGGAAATGGTGCCACTTGAGACATCAATTCGGCTGCTGCTTCATACATCCAGTGGCCAGAGTTAAGTGAATTTGTGAATGCGAAAGCAAAGTTGTTAATGGCCACAGTAGCAGTCAAAAAAAAAAAAAATTGCGTATGACAAGTACAGCTGTATGCATGTATTTACGAGCTTAAGCATATCTTCAGCTATGTAATCTCAGCTCATCTCGACGCGGACGAGACAATGACGTACATACATACACACATCTGTGTAGTTAAGCTTAAGACTTTCGTTGAAACCTAATTGCTTACATTTTATGAGAAGTACCAGAAAACTAATGAAGACTATAAACAATGCATAGCTTGTTTGTTTTTTTTTATCTGATTTTCGGCGACAACAATCTGCGTTTGATGTCGAGGGCAGGCTACCCGCTGGCTACCACTTGAGCGCTGTGAGGGTTCGTCGAACGCAAATTTCGATTGTGAAAACTTACACTTTGTATTTACTTATATGAACTTTTTTTTANGCGTATGACAAGCATAGCTGTATGCATGTATTTACGAGCGTAAGCATATCTTCAGCTATGTAATCTCAGCTCATCTCGCCGCGGACGAGACAATGACGTACTACATACATACACACATTTGTGTAGCTAAGCTTAAGACTTTCGTTGAAACCTAATTGGTTACATTTTATGAGAAGTACCAGAATAAAAGAAAACTAATGAAGACTATAAACAATGCATAGCTTGTTTGTTTTTTTTTAATCTGATTTTCGGCGACAACAATCTGCGTTTGATGTCGAGGGCAGGCTACCCGCTGGCTACCACTTGAGCGCTGTGAGGGTTCGTCGAACGCAAATTTCGATTGTGAAAACTTACACTTTGTATTTACTTATATGAACTTTTTTTTATCCATATTCTGTTGTTGTGCTCTTTATAGCGGCTACGCAAATGTCATTTATAACCCGAAATGCGTGGTCAAGGTCAGGGGCGTATACGCAACCAAGTACGCAAGAGTTAGCGCATTTGCCAATAGCAGCGTTGACTGATGCTGACTGCCTCAATTGTTAATTGCCTATGCCGATAATTGATAATTGTATTTGCAGCTGAAAGACATCTATTAAGCGCTTCTATGAACATTGAACTTGCGTGCGATTCGCCTAAAGCNCGCTGGCTACCACTTGAGCGCTGTGAGGGTTCGTCGAACGCAAATTTCGATTGTGAAAACTTACACTTTGTATTTACTTATATGAACTTTTTTTTAATCCATATTCTGTTGTTTTGCTCCTCATAGCGGCTACGCAAATGTCATTTATAACCCGAAATGCGTAGTCAAGGTCAGGGGCGTATACGCAACCAAGTACGCAAGAGTTAGCGCATTTGCCAATAGCAGCGTTGACTGATGCTGACTGCCTCAATTGTTAATTGCCTATGCCGATAATTGATAATTGTATTTGCAGCTGAAAGACATCTATTACGCGCTTCTATGAACATTGAACTTGCGTGCGATTCGCCTAAAGCAATTGTTCGACTGATTGAAAAAAAAATTTAATTTAATTGACTGGGGCTTTTGTGTGCCGATTTCATTTGATTAGTGTGGATTGTTTGAAATTTGAAATGCTTCATTGTTAATAGTTAGGCTTTCTTGGATCCTTCGAGGAAAAATGTCTATGAACGTGTGCTCGTTGCATGGTAATTAAGAAATGAGTAATGCCGGATTTCCTCCATTCATTAAACGACAAAGATTTTAATAACAAAGTCGAGTATAAAAAAATTTTCGTGTCATTACGTTAAAAAAAATGATCATGGTATTTTTTCATTGCCTCAAATTTTTTGTCATTTCAATGCCTAGTGGAAATTCGGTATATGTTATCTACAAATTTTTTCGAACGAAAAAATAGAAATTCACAAAAAGGGCACTCAAATATACCGGAAATCGTTCAGATACTAATTCGAAACTTGCTTTGCGGCCTTTAATCTTGGAAATCAGATTCCTTAGAAAAGATTACGATTATTTCCCGTCGGACAAGGAATTTTAAATATAAACTTTTCCCTAACAATTGCAATCAGTTTCAGTTTTTTCCATCTTTTTGCCATTTTTTGTTTTTCCATTTCGATCCATGCGTGAACGTGTTCAATTTCGATTTTCATTGTTCACTTTTCATGTCTGTAGAGTTTCATAATCGAAGGTGGCAACACGTCAGCAGTGAATACAGTTACAGCAACTACAGCTCGAACAAAAGAAGAAGAAGAAGAAGAGGAAGAAGTGACAGCTAGCGACAACAGCAGCATTGACNAGCGCTTCTATGAACATTGAACTTGCGTGTGATTCGCCTAAAGCCATTGTTTGACTAATTGAAAAAAAACAAAATAAATTTAATTGACTGGGGCTTTTGTGTGCCGATTTCATTTGATTAGTGTGAATTGTTTGAAATTTGAAAGGCTTCATTGTTAATAGTTAGGCTTTCTTGGATCCTTCGAGGAAAAATGTCTATGAACTTGTGCTCGTTGCATTATGAATGATTATATGGTAATTAAGAAATGAGTATAGTCGGATTTCCTCTGGGCATTAAACGACAAAGATTTTAATAAAAAAGTTGAGTATAAAAAAATATTCGTGTCATTACGTTCAAAAAAAAAGTGATTAAATTCATTTCCACATTGTATTTTTTCAATACCTCCAATTTTTTGTCATTTCAATGCCTAGTGGAAATTCGGTATATGTTATCTACAAATTTTTTCGAACGAAAAAATAGAAATTCACAAAAAGGACACACAAATATACCGGAAATCGTTCAGATACTACTTCGAAACCCGATTATCGATAATTTTCCATCGGACAAGGAATTTTAAATATAAACTTTTCCCTAACAATTGCAATCAATTTCAGTTTTTTCCATCTTTTTGCCATTTTTTGTTTTTCCATTTCGATCCATGCCGCTATTTGCGCGAACATGTTCAATTTCGAATTTCATTATTCACTTTTCATGTCTGTAGAGTTTCATAATCGAAAGTGGCAACACGTCAGCAGTGAATACAGTAACAGCAACTACAGCTCGAACAAAAGAAGAAGAAGAGGAAGAAGTGACAGCTAGCGACAACAGCAGCATTGACTTTAGCAGAAGTAGCAACAGCAGTCAGCGCCTACCCCGACGCACACTCACCTCACCACCACCTCCCAAGCCACCCAAGCCACTCAAGCTGACAAAGTGCCATAGCAGTGATCATCAGTTGCAACATCATCTGCTACTCGTCGACTTACCGAACTATCAACAGCAACACCACGAACATAATCAAATCAATCACGCGCTTCGACAGCCGCCACACAGACATCAGCAACATAAACCTCCACATCAGCATAAGCATCATCATCATCACTATCATATCCATAATAAGCAGAAAACCCCACCAAATTCACAGCAAGTACAACAAAAAGAGCAACAAAGCGATAGCAGTAACTTAATGCCTTCGCAGGATTACGGTGTGCCGCCACCGCTGCCACCAAAACCGAAAAGCTTATTGCAACACATCAAACCGCAGCAACAGCAACAGCAACAGCTTCAGGAGCAACAACAATATAAGCTTTTACAGCAACAATTGCAGCAACAGTTACAGCAACAGCTACAGCAAGTGCTTAAACCACAACAGCAGTTACTGGCTGAGCCGCAACAACAAAACGATCAGCAGCAGCAACAAAAGCAATCGCGGCGAAATTCCAATGACACCACCACACATCATCAGCAACAATCACCTAAATCACCAAAGCCGCCGCCATCACCACGTACCCCAAAATCCCCACTACCGCCAACGTCATCCTCACCGCTCGCACTTCAGTCTTCAGGCAGCAAGAAGGACGCTGCGAAATCGCCAACGCAATCACAAACGCAAACTCAGACATTTCAATTCCATCGTTTCCATCATCACAAATCGGCGCCCACATTTGATCTCTTTTTCAAATCGCCCACGAATTCATCCTGTGCCACGCCCCTATCCAAATCACGCCGCAACAGTTCATATCATTCGTACGATGATTTGGATGCCACGAGCGCCGAGAAGAAAGTTGTGTCCAGTTTGAAATATTTGTGCGCCTGCACTGGCGCCACTTTGCGAAATCTCTCGAAGAAAACAAAAGATTTACACGCGAAGAATTACTGTTACACGAAGGTAAATCAATGGGCGAGAAAGTGTTTGTAGAGTCGTAGAGGATGTTAACCTAATACTAGGTTCACAAATAAGTAGATTATCCTCATTTTCGAGCTTAACACCCTAATCTGTAATTATAACAAGAGATTAGCCATATAAAATTCGTCCCTTGTTAATCTGTAATTATAAAATAATCTCAGATTAAACCGATAACTTTTCGGTGTCCATCCTAGTTGTAGCGATTGTTTTTGCAAAAAAGAGGAGAAATGCCAAATGTAAAAGTAAACAAAAATGTACGCTAGCAAAGAAAAGAGGTTTGTAAAGGTTTTTTTTTTTTAAAAATGTTAAGTTAAAATATATTTATATTGCATATTATAGCATGAAAACGTGATCACGGTGGCCCAAAAAAGAAACATAACTTTTCCTTGAGATTTGAGAATAACAAGCACAACAAATTTGACGGCTATTAATCTGAGATTTGCCTGTGTAAACGGGGTGATTAAAAAACGAGCTTTGATTGAGATAATATTGATATGTGAACATAGTTTAAGTAGCAAGGGTATACTATTTCGAGATATGTAATTATTTTGTTTGTATTGATGAAAGGCAATTAGAGTTATTGATATGAAAAACTTTTGCTTTCGGTAAAGTAGCAGATTTAGCTACTTATAGTGTGAAAAATACATCAATAGTGATGCCGATAACACAGTGGTATATATATGTACATTAGACCATACTCCCTTACAAGAAAAAAAAACAGTTCGCCGTACTCCCCTGGGTAAAATATTTTTGCAAGGCAATTTGGAAACAAAAATTTTGTTTTGACGGACCAAGGGGTCGTGGGTAAGTACAAGTACGGGTGCATGAGGTCAATGAACTTTGGTAAAAAAAAATTGTCTCTTCGATAAGAACCATCGATATATCATACTTTAATATCCGACTGAGAATACCGAAGATATGACGAGAAATGTAAAAGCCGACCCGAATGTATTTGAAATTTGAAAGAAACTTAAAGAATTCAAATGTTTCTTATCGGAAACCTGTACTTAGGTATGTAAAATGTTAAGCTTTGCTTAAGAATCGGGAATAAGCGATGTGAATTGAAACCTCAATCATCCCTGCGAGCCACAAAATCCCCTTAGATACACAGACCTATGAAAAGATCAAGTATGGCATTTCAAGTGATACGCATGTGAAGGGAATTACATATTTGAAGGTATTTTTAACCGACTTCAAAAAAAAGGAGAAGCTTATAAATTCATCGGAATTTTTATTTTTATTTATTTATTTATGTTACCGCATAAATTTTCCCCCTTCAATCAATTTCTATAATTCTTTTTTTTTTTAAAGGTGGTACCTACCATTTTAATTTGGTTCAGATGCGATCTTTGGATCATTAGGTAATTAACGGTACTTTTAAATTTTTATATGAGAATTGAAGTCAGTTTTGTTTTTTGCTTAAAAATTACTTATCAATAAAGTAAATCGGAAATATCCAACTTTCTGTTTCGATTTAGAATCCCCGCCTGTCAGCATATCTGCCAGCTTGCTAGATTTTCATAAACTATTTCGAAAAGTAAGCCAAATTAAATATTCAAATTGAAACAAGCGTAAACATCACAAATAGAATTTAGTATNCCCGCCTGTCAGCATATCTGCCAGCTTGCTAGATTTTCATAAACTATTTCGAAAAGTAAGCCAAAGTAAATATTCAAATTGAAACAAGCGTAAACATCACAAATAGAATTTAGTATGCCACTTATTATAAATTCAATAAATTTATTTTATTTTCTATAAATTTTAGGCCATAGTAGCATCGACGTTCACATGTATGTATGTGTATAAATATGTGCTGCTGCATTCCACTGACAATTTATGGCAGTTGCAGTTTGTTTACTTTTGCTTAAAATTATTCTCATTTTTATTTATAATTTTGTGCGTAGAGCAAGAATTTTGTATTTCTTAAATATCATGAAAAGCCGTACGGAAGCAAGTCAGACAAAGCGTATTTTGCGACTTAAAACCGGTTTATAGACATAACTCAGTGCTCTTTGTTCAATACGTCGCTCATTCATTGGGAAGGAGATCCGCTTTTTTAACATACATACATACATATACATTTACATACATATACAATAGCCTCATTCTATTGCTACCGACTGACAAACAAGCAGACACACAAACTATGCTATTTATCCGAGTTGAGACAGGTCAGTTAACAAATATGCAACCTCTTAAGTAGTGTGACAAAGCAAGGAAACTACTTCATTGTGAATGAGTGAAGTTATTTGGGACATTTTTATTTTGACAATTGTACATTTGATTCATATTGAATTTAAATTTACAAACAGGTGGCAAGCTTATTCAGAAAGTTAAAAAAAAATATTCCAAATGTTTCATCTCCAGCCGTTTCGGAGTGAAAGGAGCTCTCGCGTGGTGTCGGTATTTCATTTAATCAAATTTCAAATCATCCGGCACCGCTAGAAAAATTCTAACTTCAAAAAATCAAATCTTATTACACATCTACAGGCGCAGTGCTTTAATTTGACGTTCAATTTTTGAAATTCGAAGTAACCATGCAGCTCTGTTGTTCTTCACAAATAATGCTGTTCTTACGTTTGGCACTCATATTGTAACATTTAATTTACTAACTTGTGTATAAGTTAAACAAAATCGACTTTAAAAACAGATGGTAACCCTCTTTAAAAATATTTTCTAACTCAAATCTTTTTAAATCCCTTTTGTCTGGGATTGTGAAACATGACAACTGATGAACTAGTTTTGAATTTGATTTTCAAACACGTGGCAACTCTGCTTAAACAGTTTAGAAATATTAAAATTTTCAAACTCACTTCGCTTGATACCCAACTTTTAATAAATGATTTAACCTATTAAATAATTTGGATCTACCTTTTTCAAAAGGTGACAACCTCCTTCACACTCCTTAAAAATGTCTATATTATCAATCTAAAAATTTCAATCGATTGTTTAATACCCATATTTTAATCTTTCAAATAACTTGCTTATAAGTTAACTAAATTCTGCTCTTAAACAGGTGGCAACCCTCTGAAAAATACATCCAGTTTAAAAATAAAGCCTTTTCAAAACCATTTCGATTGATGCCCATATAGGAATAGTTGATTTATTATTTCAAATAATTTGATTTCAATTTTTTAAATGGTGGTAACTGTTTTCGAAAACTAAAACGTAATTCACATTTACCGACATGTGCGGTGCTGTCACAGAAAGCGACTCCGAACGGCGATTGTATTTTTATGAGAAGCTGTTTTTCTTGGAAGAAATACACTCCGAGGTTTGCCATTGCCTGCCGAGGGACGACCGCTGTTAAGAAAAAATCTTTTTTCTATTTTTTTTGCGATGTTGCTTTGACCAGGGTTTGAACCCAGGTGCGGAATGGAAGCGCGCACTGCTTACCACTGCACCACAGCGGCCGACACTGAGAAAAATATTCAGTTACCTCAACTAAATATGTTCTTATCAACGCTACAGTTGGCTATAGTGACATTATTTGGTTATAGTTACCAAAACATGTGTTTAGAGAAATATGTTTAGCTCACTTTTTTCTGGGTGTAGATATTAGGTGCTTGGTGCTCACTACTCACATGCTGCATTGGCAGACATCAACCGTTTTACTTGTGTATCTAAAAGGAAATTTTAACTGTGTTGGGTGTTCTTTTGGTACTCGGCACCAAGAGAATGAGGCTCACACCAAACACAAAACATTCCCTCAATTGAGAATGTGAGCAAAATGCGCGATATTTCCGGGATTACCATCCCTATAACATAAAAAATAAATAACGTACAGTATTTATTTATATTCTTCTTTGCCGAGTGCGACGTTGTGTATGTTTTTTTTAATAAATTTTTTATTTTATTTTTAGGATAACATTGAAAATGGTTTTAGCCAACGTTTTCGATGCTTCTTATTGGCACAGTTTTTCATTTTAATCTGATTTGTGGCGCACGAGGGAAATGTCGAACTGTCAAAGCTAATAGTCGCGTATGTGGTGTGGGCTAGTAGATAGGAGGGTGTGCTAGAGGAATTGTTTATATTTTATTTTTAAAGTTGTTTATTGCAAGCAGAAATAAAATAGCGTCTTAGAAAATTTAATGAATATATGTACATTAGGGCGGTCCTTAAATGTAGTGAGCAAATTTTTAAATCAGATTTCAATGCTACTATAGTCGAGGACAGCACAAAGTTCAGATTACCCTTTTTGTCAACGTTTTAACCGACTTTAATCGAAACTAAATGTATGTGATATCCTCGACTATAGTAGTATCGCTTTTGGGCATTAAATGAAAAAACATATTATAATTTTTTGAGTCCTTAGAGGCATCTGGCTTTTGACCCTTTTGCGACACGCCTAAATCGACTCTAATCGGGACCAACATTTATATGTGATATCTTCGACTAAGGTAGTATCGATTTTGGGTATTAGATGAAAAAAATAATAATTTAAATTTGTTGAGTCTCCATAGAGGAATTTGAACTTTTCCCCCTGTGCGACACGCCTTAACCGTCTCCAATATATGTGATATCTATGACAGTGCTGTTACCGATTGAAGAGGTGCGACTGAAAAAAATCGTTCATTTGATTTTTTAAGGACCACCCCAATGTACATAAACCATACATACATATTTATGCATGCACACAGTACTATGCATATTTGTAGATATGTACCTAAGTAAGTAATAAAACTCACATGATGAATGAATGGGAAAACCAGTCTGAAAATGTGCTTTCATGTGTTTGGTTTTTATGAGTGTGCGGCTTTGAGCTGTAATTAGATATGCGTGCAAATTTATTATTCGCTAGATGAGAGCTTAAGTCACTGTTACTGAGCGGGTGACTGGGTTGTTATATAGATAAGTCTAAAAAGTGTAATGCCTAATTGTTTTTTGAACGTTAAACAAATTTAAATATGTTTTCTAAATAAGCCTTTTTTTTGACATTGCGCTTCCGCAGCAATTTGCTCTAAAACTGTGCCATGCAAAA